CAATGTTTCTTAACAGGAAAACTTGGAAAATAGCAGCTTTAAAACCCTCAAATTTCTAAAATATGACGTGTGGACAATTGCACTTCTGTGGCTTCGAATTTGATTTCAATTTTAGCCACACTAGAAGCATGACCTATGACCAGGAAGCCAGCAAGGAGGCTCCATGGTACCCTACTAGTTACCAAGGAGACCCGTTATCTCCATTCTATAAATGGATTAGCTTTGCCAAGGCTGAGGTTAATATAAATGGAACTGCACACTTGTGTCCTTTTGTATCATTTCTCTCCCTCTGCACAATGTCTGTGGATCTGATTCTAGGACATGTTGTAGGAGTGGTTTGTTTTGCTCACTGTGTGATGCCCTATTGAATACACCCCAGCGTGTCCACCGTAACACTGAGGACACTCAGGTTGGTTTCAGTTTAGACCAATCACAAAATGCTTCTATGTGCACTCTCACCGTCTTTTGGTGAAGCTCTTGGAGCTGAGGGTGCTGGCTGACTGAGTACACAGATACTGACCCTCACAAGCTATCATCAGTGTTCAGAGACTGTGGTGACTGATGTTTTGCAGCAGTGTATGAAAATTCCCATCACTGCATTTTCAATGACATTTAATTATTTTTTGCACGATTTTTTCATTTTAGCAATTCTGGCGAGCAGACAACACAATCATGTTACAATATGATGTTTTATTTTTTCACTGAATAGCCTGCTGAGAACATTTTTGATGTTTATTGGTTATTTGAATAACCTCATACCTAAGCTGCCTGTCTTCACTTCTTGCACATGTTAGGAGCTCTCCTTTTTTGTCCTGCTCTGTAGGAATTCTTTACATCGTCCTGATATAGACCTTTCGGCCAAGAAGTGAATGGCAAATGTTCTCTCTATTATTAGCTTGCCTTTTTACTTTATCAGTGATGTTTTCTGATACATAGTCATTTAGAATTTTTACCATTTTTATTGACGCAAAAATTATATGTATTTGTGCAGGACCATGTAAGGTTTGATGCATATATTTATCGTATAATATTCAAATCAAGGTGAGTGTATCTGCCTCTTCCAATATTTATCATCTTTTCCAGTGAACTCATTTAAATCCCTTTCTTCCAGCTTTCTTGAAGCATACATTTCCTCATTGTTTTTGTGGAGCCTCTACCATATATAAGAGCACCAGAACTTATTTCTCCTATATACATATAATTTAATACCCACTAACCAACCTTAAATTTAAATGTAGTTTGATTTATTAATATTTTCCTCTAAAGATAGTGCTTTTTATATCCTGTTACAAAATTTTTGCCTGCCCTAAGACTGTGGAAATACTTTCCTGTGCTTTCTTCTATAAACATCATTGTTGTGTCTTCTAAAAGGGCTACATTTTCTCTGTAGCTTTAGCAGTAGGGAAGATATTTTAATAGTAACCAGCCCTAAAAAAAATGTATACCCTACGGTGCAAAGACAAATATTTTTGATGCTCTTTATGCAAAACATAAGGAGAGAAACAGCTTTGGAGGAAAAAGAGGAAATAATGCTTCCCCTTGACTATGCACTACTGTTGTGATCCCAAAGTCCTCTCCAATCGGCCCTTTCATTCTGCAGATCCCCACGCAGTGATTCTCAGCGGGCTCCCACTTCCTTCTCCTAGGAATGCTGATGCAAGTGTCTAGGAAGCTTCTGGTCACATCGATGCCAAAGTTAGAGAAAAGATTAGCTCAGGAGCAACTGTGGTATGAAAGCCTTCACTGAACAGTGAGACTTCTGCAAACGGCTGACACATTCTTCTACCTCTTCAAAAGGAGAAGACAGAGACCCTTAAATGTGAACCATTACACGATATCATATCTAGAGTGTCTGAAAATATGGAACATGCAGATTTTAAACAAAGACATGACATATATGAAGCTGTGGGTTCCTCAGCTTACTGAAAGGAGGTACCTGAAATAAACTATGGAGAACTTAAACCTGACAGCGGGAGGCACCGTGCTAAGAGTCCTTGGTTCACCTTAGTTTCCTTACAGAACTTCACTCAGAAACATACTTTTTCCCTACAGTGTGCTTTGCCACAATTTTGCAGTTGGTTCCTTTCAGGTAAGAGTGCTCCTTAGAATTTCCTTCCTTGCAATCACATTTCAAAAAAAAAAAAAAAAATGTTTATTTCCATGCACTGAAAATTGGTTATGTGGCCAAGCTCATCATCTATTTGTGTCTGCAAGAAATGGAGTGAGACTATTATAAAGTGTGGAAAGGGAATTATTTGCCAGCAATAACATGAATAAATTTAGTCAATGGTTGATGGATGGCAGGTCCGCTTGGTAAATAGGAAGCCAGGAAAATGCACAGAGCTGGGCCCCGGCAGCCACTGCAGTGTGAACTGCTATATAACGCTGGCTAAGCACAGGGTGGAGGGGAAATAACTGCTGTCACAGTCTCCTGACAAAGACACTAAACAAAGATATTTTAGTATCTTTGTGCCGATGACTGAAGTAAAATAGTCCCTGAATATGAGGATGGGAATTACTTACACATTAAAGGTGAAACTACCCTGAGAAAGCATCAGACATGAGGTCTCTAAAAATTTCAGCATTAGCAGGGGGAGAAATGGGCTGTGTAGATCATCAAAACATAAACAGGTTTCATTTATGGTCCCTTGGGCTGTGCACTTTCACCTTCTGTTAAACATTTTGCTTGGCTGGAAAAAGACCACAGCAGCAAAACCTGCCCCTTCCTGACTCCTGGCTGGAAGTGCCATCTTGGGAATATTCAGCAAGGACCACAGGGGAGGCTGACCATGCTGTGGGCCATGCCTGATGGGTCATCAAAGGGACAGTTCTGGGACACTGGAACCAGTGGACAACCACACCTGCTTCTTCTGTTTACCTCAGTGCCTCTGAGCTCTGAGTTCTGAGTTCACAGAGTTCAACATGGTGGGACCTGCCCTGAGTTCTGCTGTTTGGATACAAGGTAAACTTTCTGAGTTCTGAATATCTTGAATAAATTTCCTCACCTGCTTTCTACTTTTTGATACTAACTCAAAGCAGAAAGAAAAATCCAGAAGCAAAGTCAAGACTGAGTGTATAGTTCTAAATTGTGATTCTCAGAACATCTGAGAGTTCCCCTATAATATGATGAGGTTCCAAAGAAATATTCTGATTTCCAAAGACAAGTCTAAAATAGCCTTTACCCTTTACAGTACCTAGAGACTGCACTTCTCAGGGGGTGTTAGTAGGTGTACATAAAACATCTCAATTCTTTTTTCATCCCCTTCCCCTTCCTTTCTTCCCTCCTCCCTCCGTCTCTTGATTCCCTTCCAATCTGAGAAATACCTGTCTCCCTGCACGCCATCTTTTCTTTTGCTCTTTATTTATAAATTGGGTTTCTCACAGAGGAGAAAACATGTGATACTGAAGTTGTGTGTCTGATTCATTTCACTTAACATTATGGTCTCAAAGTGCATCCATTTTTCTACAAGTGATGCCACATTTGTCTTTCTTTATGGCACAGCAGTAATTGTTTTCCTGATTTTCTGAACTTTAAATACAAATTGTGATGATACAACTATTTGAATAATAAATCTAGAATCTGTGAGACTATGCTAATGCGACTGGAACATGCATTCTCCTGATTGGGACTTTATCTCTTCCCTGCCAGCAGGCCACCTCTCCACAATGACAGGGTCTCTGTAAATGCCGCACCTCCCTAATGAAACTATTAATTACAGAACTCAGAGCACAGCTCTGCCCTCCTCCCCAGGCACTGTGAAAATGCCTCTCTCCCCTCTGGCCTCTGTTCTCTGGGAAAGGCTCCTCACCTGCAGCTCTGTGTGCCTCCTCCCAGCTCCCAACACTCACCTGTGGCCTCTGGACCTGAAGCTGTGCCATATGTAGATTTCTGTCTGCCTCCCCCACTGGGCTCCATGATGGCGGGGGTCATGTGACTACTTTTGCCTTTACCACTAGTATTTCTTCTCAAGTACCTTAATTACCAGCACACTGCACAGAGGTGAAATTTCATCGAAACTTGGCATTACCTGGTGTGAAAGTGAATGTCATGTGCTAAGTGGGTCAGACTTTGCCCAGCCCTTTGGACAAACAACAGTCTAGATGTTGCGCCGAAGATATTTTTACAAATGATTAACATTTAAATCTGTAGCCCTCAAGCCAAGCAGGGTACATATACTGCATAATGATGTGGGCTTCATCTAACCAGGTAGGGTCCTGAAGAGCATAGCTGAATTTTCTGCAGAAGGAAGAGGAGCCCTCAGGACTGCATGGAGATCCTGCTGGAGCTTTCAAGATTGCAAATTTGCCAGCCACTGCCATCATCTGACTCAGATCCTTTAAAATCTCCTGTATATCAGATGCTGCTTAATTCCTCCAGTTGAGGACACCCCAAACAGAATGTCTGTCCCCTCCCATGAAGAATTTCATCTGCTGGACAGTGACATCACTACATCTTTGGTCCCACCAGCCCGATCCAGGGGAGTTCTCTCTGACAGACTCATCTGTTCATTTTTAATATCAGCCCACCACCGTGTCCTGCCTCCCATGTACCTCTGGAACTCATTTGGTTATGGAAGCCATTCTGATCCAAACAATCATGGATGTTTGTGACCTCCTGGAGTGGCGTCCTTTGCCTGCACTTTGGTCTTCCAATCATTTCCCCAAACCTCACCATACTCACCTCTTCTAGAATGATAACCTGCCAAGGCCACATCCCTGCTGCCCTTGACAAAGATCACAATCATCAGCATGACCTCCACAGCCAGCCAGCCCAGCAAGGACAGGCTGCCACCCACCTGCCAGTCCTGACCTGGGTGCTCCATCCATCTCTGTCACTTTTCTTAGTCCTTGCCAGTATCCCCAGCCTGTGACTACTCAGCATGGGTGTTTCTATCCATTTTTGAAAGCTCTCATTCCCTTTGCCCCTCCCCCATCCTCAATTATCACAGCCTCCCATCCTGCCATGATTCCTCCATGGAGTTTTCATTCTGTGCACTTACCAGCTCTGTAACTCTCCGGTCATTCATTTAGTTGTTTGCTTCCTTGATGATTTCGTCTTTCTGTCCCTATGTAAACCCCAGTGAGGCTCAGGTGTGATTTCCTCAACTTTGTGTCCAGAGCATCAGAACCAAGCATGGGATTAGCCAGTCTAGGGCTATCATTCCCATTTAATCAGTTTTTTAAAAACAGCATTCAAGGTATCGGAAGAATTTGCCATGGAAGAATGTGGACATGAGTGCAGGTCTTTTGATTCCAAATGAATGATGTGCGCCTGTGTTTTCCTGCCTCCCGTTTCTTATGTGGGGCAGCACTCGGCAATTTCAGAAGCACCGCACCTCCCCTTATGTCACAGCCACGGTTGTTCATCATCACCTCTGTAGACAATCTTCATTAATTCATTAGACATCATATAAACACATCAGTCATACAAATGCCCCTCACATAGATTCATCAACTCAGCTCTTTCCAAGTACTAAGAATAATGTTTCCCCATAACACCACATAATGCAATGGAAATGCTTTTCTCTAATCCTGTTCTGTGCAGAGAAGATGCAGAGCACATCTGCTGACTTTTAGGTTCTCTCATGTAGCTTTTTATTATGAGTTTTAATTACACATGAAGGATAAAGTTTCAAAACTCTGATATGAGTACTCAGATTCATTGCGGTGTTACCCAATTGTCCAATAACAAGTAGAGAGGGCATAGTCTTTGAAGAGAAGGCAGATGGTCTCATCAATCACCACAGGTGAGAAGGCAGGCTGTGGCTGGTGAATGTGGCCTCTAGTTACTCTGCAGTGGCTTTTTTGGCACCAGGTGGAGTGGCCTGTTTGTCCATTCCCACAAGCACATGCCTGGCATTGCTACAGAAGGATTAATTACTGATTGTTCTGGGTGCTGTATGCAATTGCATCTGTGGGTTTCACAGAGCTAGGACAACACTGTACCTCACTGGTGCAACCAGAGCAATGGATCAATATGAAGACAGCATTTTTTCACCTAGACACTTGTCCCCAGTAGGCCCGTGGGTCAGTTCATGGCTTGGATCCTCCATCCTACTGACTACAGCGATGCCAACTCTGCTTCCAAAATCCCTGCAGCTCTGAGGTTGTGCCTGCATTTACATTTTTGCTTGTGACCTTCAGATGGTCTTCTTTCTGTATTCTGTGCCTTTTGTTATCTTAAATAACCTCAATCTTTACCCATTTTCAATGCTTCAGAAGGTTCTTGTTCTTCCCAAATTGTACCACCAAGAAGTCAAATAGAGGGCCAGGATATAGCACAGGGGTACAGCACCTCCCTTGCAAATGCAGGGTCTTGAGCTCGATTCCTGATACCAAAAAAGAAAAAATAAGTCAAATGATAGTCTATGCATATTTGAATTAGTCACAGTAGTACTTAATAGTAAAATAATGTATTGGATAAATTCAAAATTTGAAAGCATTAAGCTTTAAAATAGATTCATTAAAAGTCTCACAAAGCTTCAAACCTAAGACATCGTTGTCCACTGCAGGGCAGATGTATCTCAGGTCCTTGGTCAGATCATGGTCCATGTGACTGAGGGGTATCAGAAGTGCTGAACTGGCCACACCTCAACCTTCCAGCTCTGTTCTAGCTCTCACAGGTGCAGTGACTTGTCAGGGAGAATTTGATTTGAAGTGTATTCCAATAATGGCTTCAAAACAGAGAAGGAATCTTATATAAGCAGGACCAAAGAGCCCTGCTCTGTGTAGAAGCACTCCTAGGCCACAGGCAGAGCAGGATGAGACATAAATCAAAAGCCACATATTTATCGGTGATTTGTCCTTTTAACAAAAAGTATGTATTTATTTCACTTGCCCATTTTTGATCAGGTCCTTTATTTGGAAAGTCTAGATAGATAGATACATGGATAGATACATGGATAGATAGATAGATAGATAGATAGATAGATAGATAGATAGATAGATAGATAGATACAGACAGACAGACAGACAGACAGATATCTACTGGTCTTCTGTCTGAGGAATAGCCGCAAAATCATTTTCACTATTTTGTAGGTTTTCTCTTCACTGTGTTTGTTGTTTCCTTTGCAGAGCAGAGCTGACCACTAGAAAAATGCAAACTAAAACATTAAGATTCCTTCTTACTCCAAGAAAAATGGCCATCAGCAAGAAATCAAATAGTAACGGAAGTTGGCGATGCCTAATGGAAAAAGGAACACTTTTACACTGTTGGGAGGAATGTACAAGCACTATGGAAGTCAGTGTGGAGATTCCTCAAAAACTAAAATTAGATATTCCATTTGACCCAGCCATTCCCCTTCTAGATGCCTTTCCAGAAGAGTTAAAGACATCTTATTACACTGATTCATATATATTCATATTTATAGCAGCACAGTTCATAATAGCTAAGTCTTGGAAGTGATGTACATGCCCGTGAACAGATGGATAGATAAGAAAAATGTGGCATTTATACACAGAGACATTCTCCTGCCATAATGAGGGTACACTTGTGTCATGTGTAGGGAAAAGGGTGCACGTTGAGATCACAACATTAAGTGAAATAAATCAGACATGTGAGCTTAAATAGTCCATCATTCCTGTTATATAACAAACAAAAATATAAACAAAGATCAAAATAAAAGCTAGATACTAGAAAGCAGGGCAACAGATTTTTTTTTTTCAAATGGGAGAGGGGATCAAGAGTTGGAAGGAAGAGAGGGAAAGACAATAAATACAAAAAGAATTGAGACACATTGTGTACATACACCAACTCCCACAAGGAACGTAAACATTAGGGGATGAAAATATTCACTAACAAAAAACGAAATAATATGTAACCAAAAAAGTCCACTAGCTTCACAATGAAAAGTCAGAGTCCAAAGCCCGAGTTCAGGATAAGCAAGGCACAGCCCAGTAGCTAACAGTAGAATCCACACAGCCCAGTAGCTAAACCCCAAGTCTGGGTCTGGATTTTAGAAACTGTGGTGACACCTTGTTAGGGTTCAAATGCTTGTGATGTTCTAAAAATAATTATTATTTGAAACCTAATTCCCAATGTCTCCCTATCAAGAGGAAGGCCAATTATTTGTTTGTTTGGGTGCTAGGTATAGAACCCAGGCCTTGCCTACACATCAACTCTACAACCTAGCTTTGCATACTCTCAGTCCCTAGAGCTGGGGCTGTTAGGAGGTGATTAGGTGAACGGGTTTGGTGTCCTTACAAGAAAGCCCTAAGAAGGTCACTTCCTCCTTCCGCCATGTGAGCGCCCCACAAAAGCCAACTTGAGAAGGATCTGGGTAAAGAAGAACAATGCCAGGTTAGATAGAGGAGGGAGACACAGACCACAGGAACTGTGAGTTTCTTTGCATGTATACTTTTGATGAAAATGAAATACCTTTAAGTTGAGCTAAAACAAAAAGTTATTGCTTTGCAGTTTTGTTTGCAAGAAGACAGGCTCTAAAATGTGGTAAAATTTATATTGCATTAGCATAAGTCACCATTTAAACAAAATTTTACTTCTCACTTGAATGTAGTGTTTTATCTTACCTTAATAGAAATTCTGTGTAATGAGGTTTTATGCACACACACAATTTTTTGGAAACACAATCTTGATTTTAAGCAATCATGCTTTTAAAGGGTAAGATAACATTTGAAATCATAAACAAATTGGTTACTTTATTTTTACCAAGTTAGACTGAGGCCCCATGCCTTATCAAACCAAAAAGGAGTATCCCTCACACTCTGGCTGTATCAGTAAGTAAGTCTCTATCAGGAAATTCCCAAATTCACTTTATCACCGCATCACTCAGAGTGAAGCAGACATCGATTCTCCTGTTTTTCTCTCCTGGCTTGTCCTTTACTTTTAACTTAGTAATGATCTTCTCTGACACTGTGAAGGATAAAAAGACAGTCAGCTCTACTGAGATGTTCCTTTACGATTTTCACCTTTAATAACATACTTGGAAAGGTTTTTCTTCCCACCCCCCAAAAGTACAGCCAAGTCTATCAACTTCAGAATGTCTTCCAGATCTGTGTGCTTTGTTTCACCCAGCATTATACAAAGGCTCCCTTCGAGACAGGATTTCAGTGTCCTGTGGATCATGAAATGCGGCTGCTATAGAGGGTATCACTACCTCCACACCTTCCACTGATTTTAGCCGGTCTTGGATGGGTCCCCATGCCATGGCACATGCACAATCACACTGTCAATCAGCAGGTCCTTTAGAACAATGGCGAGGGAAAGGGCCTCCCAAGGATAATGGACTTAGTTAAGAGTTGAAGCAAATCAAAGATGCTGCAATGCGCTTTGTGAAAGTGCCTCTGTCCCAGGTTGAGTTATGTGCCCCCCGGTGGTAGTGGAACTGCAGTCTTATTTGAAAATAGGGCTTTTGTGATGTGACCAGATGATGTCAGGGTCATACTGGATTAGAGTGGGTCCTCAATGTTGTGACTAATCTCTTTCTGAGAGAAAGGAAAGTGGATCTGGGACACAGGGTTGCAGGCACACACAGAGAGGCAAGAGAAGGTTGGGGATGTAGCTCAGCAGCATAAGCGCCTGCCTGACAAGCACAAGGTCCAGAGTTTGATTCCCAGTACCAAAAATAATTAATTATTTAAAAGAAAACAAGAGAACTCCAGAAAGGAGTGATGCTACCTCAATCTAAGAAACACCAGGAGCTGGAGAAGGCAAGGAGAGGCCTTTCCAAGCGCCTCCAGAATGAAGATGGCCCTACTGGTACCTTGATTTGTTCATGCATGTGTGTGTGTGCATATCTTTTTGAGAAAGGGTCTCGCTATATAGTGCTGGGCTTGAGCTCACTTTGTAGCCCAGGCTGGTCTCAAACTTGCAAGGAGCCTCCTGCCTCAGCCACCCAAGTGCTGGAATTGTAGTGTGCACCATCACATCTGGTTTGATCTCTTAATTTTGTGTTTCTAGCCTCTAGAGCTGTGAGAGAACAGATTTCTGTTAATTGAGCCACATTTTTCAGTTTCCTTTGTTGTGGTAGAAATTAATAGAAGAGTCCTTGCTCCTATTTAACAATTTGCCAAGTACTTTAACTTTGTTAAGGATGCTTCTGAATGTTCCAAGCTGAGCCACTCATAGAATTTAGAGGCCTCTATCAAGATTCAAGCTTCATGACTCTCTGTGTTCCATGTGCTAAGCAAGAATCAAGCCTAGAAGTAGACATCAAAAACACAAAGAGGACACATGTAACACAATGTACAAGTCCACAGCTCTGAGCTGGAAGTAGGAGTGTGACCTGAAGCAGGAAGAGATGCTGAGACCCCAGTTTGCCGGTCTCCAGGGATGGTTTCTGACCCCAGAACTACTGAGCATGAGGAGTCTGCACTGTTCAAGCCACTGTGTCTGCAGTGTTTGTTGCAATGGGCCTAGAGAAGCACACATCTCACTACTCATCGAAGAGGTCAAACACAACTGCAATAAAGACCAGCATGGACTGGACTCCTGGAGTGACACAGGTGTGATCTGAGCACAGCCTCTCACTGTCTCTGGAGATGAATTGGGCACGACTCCCCCCCACAGTTCCTGGAGAGGGAGCTCCACAGGATCCTTAGGATTCCTGCTTAGAAAGGGGATGAGAGCAAAATGGCCGGAACCAAGAAGTCAACTGCAAAATGCACAGACAGTGTGACTGGGAAAAAGAAGGAACAAGAAAAGAAAAAAAAAAAACAGCCAAATTGAAACAAATGACAAAACCTTGTGCAAGAAGTGTGCTTTCAAACTGAGGTTCTAAGACAACATGCAGAAATTTAGTGCTAAGAGACAAACCCAACATGACCAGCACTCTAAACAGGCTCTCACTTACGGTGGTGTTCACTTTATAGAACTAAAACAAGGACACTGAAGCACAGTCGACCAACAGTAAATGAATATAGTCATTAATATAGTCATTAAAAGACAAGAAAGGCTCCTGCCTTGCTGTGCGTTTGACATCCCTGCCCTGAAAGGATGAACCAGAGTACATGACGCTGACCAGATGAAAAGTAGAGGAGAGTTATAAGTGGCGGGGGAGGGAACCCAAATCCAGCACTCTGAAAGTCGTTTCTAGTCACACTAGCAACGTGAGGCCAGAGATTCATTCATTTAAAAGATTCATTTTTCCCCAACATCCAGTTATGTCATGCTTTCCCCTGAGAACCCAAAAACAAATTATCTCGGAGGGAACTGTGCTTGTTGGGTTGTGTGGCCTAATAAGGCCTCAGTGTCATCCTCACTCTCCGAAGCCCCACATGCCTCACAGGAGAATGTCCTGGACACTCTCCATAAATTAATTTTCTAATTCCAGCTTGGCCACCGGCTACTTTGGTTTCCTTGGATTAATGA